TTTCTTCGTCTTCGAATCCTCCACCTAGGAAATGTTCTTGCGAAATTTCTTTGAAGAACTGGCATTTCAAAAGGAAAAATCATGTTCTCAGAAATATTCCGGTAACGTAAAAAATGGATGAAAGGGAGTGAGAAAGTGAAAGGTGAAGGAAAACGAAAACATTAGCAAGGGAAGGTCAAGAGCTCTCAAAAAAAGGGAAATCCGCTTGTTTGACATCAGCTTTGCTTCACAGCTGTCAGTGGCCATGCTCGGTCACATGGCCCAAATACGACCCCATCGTTCTTCCTATGCTCTATAAGGCTCTCTGGCCTTTCCTCAATCTGCTTTTGCTTAAGGGTCATTAGGTAGCACCCGACTTTCCATGCGATCCGTCTATTAGCTTTCTCCGGATACAAACTCTTATTATTCGCCAGATTTCTATGTTAGGCCGCGGGTACAAATTCTGTTCAGTGAATTATTTTATTATTACTTTATTTTTCTAAGGGTGAAAATCTGGTTGAGCCTAATTTCGGTCGCCACTTCTACCTTTTGCCCTTCCTTTGTACCTGCTTTTTACCAGTAATTTCTCCCTTACTTGGATTCTCAGATTTCCCCCAGGAAATCGATAAATCGATTTTCCCAATAGACCATTCATTTCTCTTATTTTGAAAAAAATTATTGCTTTTTAGTCAAAAGAAAAGAAGGTCTGCTGAGCCTCAGTCAGCTGGGAGTCTGGTTGTATTTAACCAAAGATTCAAGATTTTTAAACCCAAATTTCCACTGTATCCTTGAATTACTTACTGAATCTTTCACTGTTTCAGAATTCGATTCGGCACAATCTTTCGTTGCATTCACGTTTCATGCGTATCCAGAACGAAGGTGCCGGAAAATCGTCATGGTGGGTGATCAACCCGGATGCCAAACCGGGACGAAATCCGCGACGCGTCCGTGCTTCGACCCTTGACACCACCAGCAAGGTACGGTATTCTTGTTGCATCTCTAAATTCCTTGGAAGCGTCTTGCCATCGTTTTTGTCCTCTCTTTTTCACTTGAATCATTTTTGAATTCATCCAAAATTTCGGCTTACTTGGATAGTGATGAGTGATAGTTTCTGGTTAGTAACCTCGCTCTACTTGATCCCTTCACGGCTTCGATCGATATATTGATTGGATCATCTCGAATCGCAGTGAAGTTACTGTAATTCTTGCCGTATTACGGTATCGCCATACTTTTCTAACTCATTGGGAATCCGAGCTGAACTTGTGTAACAAATGACAGCTATATTACCCTGATAACTACGGTAATAGTACGTTTTGGTAGTTACTATCGATAACAAGGCTGATATTATCATTTCCATATAATTAAATCGATTCCGTTGTTCCGACGATTACTATGCTTGCTGGTTTAGTATGACGTTACCATAATTCCGTGTTTTTAGTACGTTTTTTTAGCCGATTACTAGCTAGTATAGCCTTCTATCGTACCGTAGGGTATCAGAGACCAGTACTGAAGGACGATGATGAACTCCTACTTCACAAAGCGTAGTATTACTTCTCCCTCTCCCATTTCCTTTTACCTTCTTCCTTCATGCGCTTCTCAGAGATGTGAAAAAAAGATGAGCAGTGTTTTGAGGAAAACTACCCATGTGG